CTTCACATCAACACCGTTATAATAAACGGCCGACTCCGAGCTGTAACCGCTCTTTGTTGACTGCAGCATATTTCCCTTCATAATTATCCCGCCACCATCAACGACAACAGCAACGGGGAAATAAACTGCGTAACTCTCCCCCTCCATGTTGTTGTCGAGCAGCAGCAGCGCCGAGTTCGCACCCAAAGTAAACCTTGGAAAGTGAATGGCGTAACCCAAGTTCGTCACAAGCTTACTGCCCGCCACCAGCATCTGGGAACTCGCGCCAAAATCTCCCTCAAACTCCAATGCACCAGAATCCAGCATCGAGGATGTCACGTTCACGTGCACACGCGCACCACTCCCCCTGATCGACAGGCCCATGAGGACGCACTGCAGCAGCGTGATGTTGAGTGTCTGTTCAGGCGCGTTAAAGTACGACAGGTCCAGCACAGTCGCAGCGGCGAAGGTCACGTTGACGAAGCACAGACCACGCACACCGGGATCAGGATAGTCCACGGAGTTGATGCTGCCACCGTAAACGCAGCGGACCTCCGTGTCATTCGCATCTGGGAGCGGGAACGGTCCAAGGCCGTCCGGAACCGCAGCCGGCAGACACGTGTCACCGTGGCCGCCAGCAGCGCACACACACCCACAGCCGCGGATGCTGCTCGTCCTCGCAGCAAAGCACACGGCGCCCACGGTACACGTGCCACAGTCCAATGCCGTCACGGGTACTCCAATATTGAGCTCGCTTCTGTAATTGGTCACAGGAGATCTCTTTACCTTGTTGCACACGCCGTAGATGGTCGGGCTCGTGTCGTCTTGTGCCGACCAAAAACTTGTCATGTATGCAGTGGTCGACGAATAGGAGCCGTAACCAAAGTCGTTGTAAAGTATTGACCACACACTCTGATCGCGGAACGCCACGCCGTCGTATTTGTCCACGTACACAACGTAGGCGGTGCGGAACTCGTTGTCGCGGTGCACCAGCCAGCTGCCACCAGTCACAGTCAGCGTGTTTGCCATGAGCATGGCGAAGCCGAGACGGAACTCGCTGGACACAACCTGCAGCACGCTGCCGCCATCCACCGCAACGTCCCCAAACACAAGCGCGCCTTTGTAGTACTCGGTGCTCGGCACACTCCAAGAGTTGTTCTGTATGGAGAACACGGAGCCGCCGCTGACACGCAGGTCCGACGCAAGAGCGTACATCACGTGCGTCTGCGAATTGACAGCGCAGTTGTCCATGTAGAAGACGCTGGTCAGGTTCACGCCAAGGCCGTGCTCCACAAGGATCGCAGCGCACGAACCCCCGCCACACATCAGAGTCGACCGCGTCATGACAAACCGCGTCGACAGAAGCCGGACACCGTCCAGGACAAGCGCGGGGCCGTACCGGGATTCCTCGTGGTCAGGGGTCGTCGGCACGTACTGCGACCCGCCAACCGTCGCACGCAGCGTTGAGTTCGCCAGCAGCACACTCGAGTTCGACGGCATCGCGCCATGCAGCACAATCGTGCCCTCCATCGACGTCACATTCGTCATGTTGACGAGGGCGTGCGGAACCAGGCGCGCTGTGCTCTCGCTGAGGCCGCCAATCCGCAGCTGCACGTCGCCCACAAGCACACAGTGGCGCAGCGTCACGTTCAGTGTGTCAGCAAACGCGTCCATCGAGCGCAGGTCCACCACCACAGCGATCGGCCCGCTGAACACCACCGAGTCGAAGCACGCCGTCGCCTGCCCGCCGCCAACCGTCACGGACTCCGTCAGCGTCACGCCACTCACGCAGTCCTGCGAACCACCGCCGGCCCTCGCCGGCGGTACGTCGAACGGCAGGCACGCGTCGCCCACACCGCCAGCGCGGCAGCTGCACACGCAGTCGGAGAACGACGCCGTCAGCGCATCGAAGCACGCCAGCGCAGCCGCACAGCCGTCGCACGGCACCACGCTCACGGAGATCAGGCCGGCCATGCGGTAGTCGCCGCTGCTCTGCAGCACGCGGCCGCCCGCACGGTTGCACTGCACGGACACAGCGCCGCTCGTGATCGTCGGTCCGACGGCAAGCGTCGCGCCAGTGGCAGCGCAGCGAGCAATAGACACGGCGCCGCCGCTCAGCGTCACACCCGACAGCGACGCCACCGACGACGCCTCGCCCACCGCCCACACGTCGTGCAGGTCCACACCGCCGCCAACGTACACCGCCGTCCCGCCCGCCTGCGACGACCTCAGCACAGTGCTGCTCACACGCAGCTGCGACTGCAACAGCGACGTCGCGTGCAGCACAAGCGGCGACGCCACCGCGTCCGTCAGCCCGCTCAGCTGCGAGTAGCGCATCGGTCCCGCCGTCACAATCGTCGAGTCACGGACCGTCACGTTCGTGCGTGCCGGCAGGTTGTGCACAGACACGAGCGAGCAGTAGCTCCCCGACAGCCCGATCACGCTCACCTCCAGGCTCCGGTCACTCGCCGGCTCGCCGCTGTAGCCCCGCACGTAGATCTGCGCACCGCCGTCGCACACGCAGTTCCTCAGTTCTATGCGCAGCGCGCCGGGAAGCATCGCCGCAACGTCGAGCACAACAGCCACGCCGTTCGTGACGTACACGCCGTCCATCAGCACCGTGTCCACGGCGCGGCCAACCGTGATGGCTCTGTCCACCGTGCCGCCCCGCAGTCGCAACGCCACCGCATGCACCGCGGGCATCCACGCCGCCGCCGCAACCAGCGCCAACAGAACAAGCAGCGCCACACGCACAGTCGCAATGGCCCTGCGCCGCACGCGGTGCCGGCTGCGCGGACACGCACCCACCGCAGACCACATCCACCAACCCAACCAGGTATCAACAGGGCTGTCGTGGTGTGTCGCACTCGTCTCGTCGACCGTGCCTCCTGCTCCGCAAATCCCTTCCTACAGATGCCAAATACAGTGACCCGATTCCGCCAGGTCGTTATCCCACTGCTACTTCTACTAATAATACTACAACTGCTGCGAGTAATTACTAAAACCTTGAAACGCTAGTTGTGGTGGTCAAGCCACAGTATCTCTATCTGCACGGTAAAACAAGGAAGAGGCAGCAACAACAGTAGCTAGACACAGTAGCATGCGGCGGCATCCGGCCACATATATTCCACATCACAGCCAGCGACAAAAAGACGCGCAGACGCAGTCAGCCCAGTGATGCCATCGGCCTCCCACCGCCCGCGCAGCGCCGCACAACCGCCGTGCAGAGCGACGGGACCCCGGCCAAGAGGCACATGACCATTGGCACCGCCCTCCTCACCAAATGCCTCCAACACATGACGACCCCGATGCCGTGGACAACACACAAAAGCCGAGGCAGATACACGTGGCATTGTTGCAACCGCCAGCCATCGAGCGCGTCCGTGAACGTGGTGGTGGTGGCGCGGAAGTGGGGCGGTGAGTGCGTCAGTTGCCAGTAGTCAAGGCGTCGTTTCTCGCTCACGTGGGTCGGCATTGCAGAACAAAGAGCGGCATCATGCGCGCACGGCATGCACTAGGGCAAAAGGGAGGAACAAAGAAGCACGGTGGCGGCACTCAGCCACGGGGGACAAGGGTCCACATCGACTCTGCGGTCGGTTGACCTTCAGACGTCCGGTTTGTAATCACGCCGCCGCCGCGCAGTTCGTGTGTCTGCAGGAGACTGGGGGATGGAGGGAGGGAAGAGAGAGGCGGTGCGGCCCGCATCGGTCCCGGTTGGGTGTGACAACGGTGAGGTCATCTCTTCAGATCGCCGGCAGCAAAGACGGTCGCCGTCAGCGGCGGTCAGTGCCTTCCTTCTCCCACCGCAGCGCCACCCCACCGACGCCGTCGCCCGCCTCCTCCCCACCGACACAACGAGGAGACAACAGCAGGAGACGTAACGCCCGCAACGATCAGGCTGCCGTAGAGTCTCGTTGCAGCCGCCATGACCAGACGAGTGGGATGCAAACAAAAAGAAAAAACAAAAAACAATTGCCCCCTCAAGCATCTCAGCACAACGTGGAAGCACAGCAGCCGGCACACAAGGCGCAACGCCGTTCAGTGGCTACCAGCACTCACCCTCGGTTACGCGGCAACGTGAAAATGAACGAGCTCCTCCCGCAAAGCCATCCCGCAACACGAGTGAGTCACACGAGCAGTCGCACAAATTAACACCACGCCACGCAAACCAGCAATCAAAGACACCGCCGGCGAAGGAAGCGATGGATGGCTGCGGCGCGCAGCCGCAATAATAAAACATGTGTCACCTTGCTTGGGGCATAGGGAAGACGTCCAATCAAAGAGGCAGGCCGATTCGCACCAGAGGGAGGTAAGAGCAAACAGAAGCAAACATTCGCCTGGGGCGATTCACCGGATCGTAAAGTTATTTACGAAAATCAAGCAATACAGTAGGAAGAGGGGTAAGTGAAAAAGCAGTGGGCTCACCACACCCTCAAGCTTTGCCCCAAGTAAGTATATGTACACATATGTATTCCGATAGCCACTCTCGTGACATGCTGCGCTCTATTCGGATTGGATACATATATACATACATATATATATTAATAACTTACGAAGTGTCAAACCTTGGGGCTCTCCAGCCACAGGACCCCACCGCAATGTGGGAATCAAAAGAGAGTGGGTGAGATGGTAAAATTAAATTTACAAAATTATCTGGCGGCTATCGGTTCCCTAATCCCCTGCAGCCGTGGTCATGCCAAAAATCATGCGGTATAAAAGTGTCGTAAAAAAGTGTATTCGTTTTATCAAAATACATATTAATTTAAATAGCCAGCCCTCCTCGCGATCATCCCCTCCACAGGCTCCTAGAAAACAACAGCGGAAGTCCATAGAACCATCACAATACTGAATGTGGGAAGCGGGGTCGCCACGGGAGTGTGGGAACGTCATGCACTACACTCGGCGATGCAGTCACAAAGCAGGTGCTTACACCACCACGGCCACCAGCACCCACGAGCCCAGCATGGGGTGGCAGAGGATGCCACTGCAGCCAGCGGCGAGCACCGCAGTGTCCCTCACGGCTACCTGAAGACAAATGTCCCGGTGACGCGTGTGCCGGCGGGGAGACTGACGACGCTGCGGCACGGGTCATCCGCATGGGAATCGTCTAGCAGCTCGTTGCTGTACACAGGCGGAACACCCGGCGCGTTCGCGATGGTGATGTGTGGATGAACATTTTCGCAGGGGAACTCTCCCTCGTTGCGCACCGCGATCGCCGTTCCCTTCGGATCAGACGCAACGCTCGTCAGCGTGAGCTCAATGGACTCGCCCAGCAGCCCCACCAGCTGCCGCAGCAGGACAAGGTCCTTGCAGGCGTCACGACCCAGGTAAAGCGTCGTCACATGGAAGGCCTTCTGCACCTTCTTGCCGTCCAGCATCTCTGGCGGCACAAGCTCGAGAACCCGCTCGGGTGACGCAATCTGAATTGCGGCATAC